AGACACATCAATTGGTTGCCTCCCACACAAGCCTGACCAGGGCCAGGGATCAAGCCTGAACCAGAAGTATGTGCTCTTGACCAAAATCTAACCTGGAACTCTTCAATCCGTGGGCCAACGCTCTATCCACTGAGCAAAACTGACTAGGGCTATATATAATTTTTTTTTCAATTAGCAATAACCACACCTCGGATAAACCTCATTGGCCACGATACTGCCACTGCACAAAAATATATATATATTTAATTTTTTAAAGTGGAAATTTAATCTCCCAGGAGTGATGACCCTCAAGGTTTTGTCTTAAGATGTCAAAGGCTGGCCCTAGCCGGTTTGGCTCAGTGAATAGAGTGTTGGCCTGTGGACTCAAGGGCCCCTGGTTCAATTCCAGTCAAGGGCACATGCCCAAGTTGCAGGCTCAATCCCCAGTAGGGGATGTGCAGGAGGCAGCTAATCAATGATTCTCATTGATGTTTCTATCTCTCCCTCTCCCTTCCTCTCCAAAATCAATAAAGATATATTTAAAAAATAAAAATAAAAAAAGATGTCAAAGGCTGAAAAGAATATACTTTACAATACTTAGATTTAATACTTGCATGATATTTTAGCCCTTTGGTTACTATTGATTTGTTAATCCAACAATCATAAAGTATTTATTGATAGAACATAAAGACAAACTCTTTGGCAGAATGCATGCTCCTCAAATATCACCAACACAACCCAGGGAGGCAGGACACCTTTACAGGGCTTTAGCCACAATCTTTTGCGGCAAGGATTCAGAATCTGGAGAAGGGGTCATGCACAAATGGATATACTAGACAAAAAATATAAATTTGGAAGGCATTGGGGGAACCAGGTGGAGGCCCTTCTCTAGTGGAATGGCTCTCTGAATCTCTGGACCCATAGCTTTTTATTTACTAGAATATACATTTGCCCTTTAGCAAAGCAAACAGACATCAATGGTAAGGTTTGGTAAACAATAAAGGATTATCAAGTTAGGGGATTGCCTTCAGCCATTCAGCCAGCAGCAGAGTAACACAATGCTGATTCTCAGCCCTTGCTGAATATCAACGTCCATCAGCCTTCTGGCGTCCATCAGTCTTCTGACGGACTTCTCGCATTTATATGTTAACTACTTGTTGTTCTTTGCCCCCAGCAGACTTTGATAGTGTTTCTGAGGGGGAAAGCCAGGTTGGAATTTATTAAGAATTGGCAGTTTGGTTTAAGGCAAGTTTTTCAGTGTGGAAAGGGGGCTTGGTTATGTTGGGAAAAGATACAAGGATCTTGGAAGGATGGAAATTGCAGGGCAAGGATTTTGAGGCAAGAGGTTCAAAGAACTTGGCATAAACTATCCGTTGATGCTTTCCATGGGAGAGTTCATGGGTCTTTTCAGGAAATTCCTATAATGAATAATCAAGCCATTTGCTTGGGCAGGTGTCTCTAGGAGTAATAAAATCATGCTAATGAAACAGTGGAATACCAAAGTAATGTAACTGTAGATGGTAAGGAATATGTATGTGTTCACGTGTATGTTGGGTGGGGGGCAGGAGGAATATGTATTTTCAGTTCTCTGAATGCTGGCTGAGTGGGGATAAATGCTATCAGTTCTCAGACGCAGCATGTAAAATGTTGCTGTTACTGCAGCCCAAATTTGTAGCTACTCTAGCAATAGTAAATTGTTGCCTACCCTCTTTTAGGAGAACATAAATTTCATGGGGGGGTTTTTTATGCCAAGGAAATGAATTATTTTGAAAGGAGGCAAGCTTTAAGAAAAAAAGTTAATACTTTATATGTACTAAAATAAAACTAAATAATGATATATGAAATTTAGAAATGTTCCTTTCCATTTGTTTATGCGTGTTTTTGCATTTCTTGTATCCAAAGAGAATCTGGAAAAATGAATTCCATTGATGTGGACTTACAAATGGCAAAAGATACCTTTGAGAAGTTAACACAAAAGCAATGGATTTCTTTCATGGTAATGTTATCGGTGAAAGTGGTGGATCCCCTTCCCCACTGGGTGCTGGGGGTCGGGTCCTTACATATCTCGAGAAAAAGAATTTTCTGAGACTCACACAGGAGGATGAGTGATTTTTATTTGCATGAATTACATCCTTGGGTTTGCAAAGTCCCACTTCCCTTAATCCAGTCCTGAAAGACATGCACCTGGGGCTTTGGCAGAGCTAGAAGCAAAACCAGAGTCCAAAGTTCTGTCTGATAATGAAGCTGGGTCTGGGACAGCGGTAGGTTTGCTGCAGTCCATTAGTCCATTGTGTGCGTGGGGTCCACATGGCTGTGGGCCCTGTGGGCGAGGGCAAGGGAGCCGAGGGTGAGGCCCCTGCAGCAAGAGCCCCAAGAGCAAAAGAGAGACAAGAGCTACAAGAGAGGGAACTCCTTTGTTTAAGCGGTTAAGTACCTCACATCTTCCTGCTCTTGCAGTGGCCACACCTACTCTGGCCAATGACCTGTTCCCAGGTATGACTGACAGACAAGTACCTTCCCTATCTCACCCAGACCTCACTGGGCATGTGTCTGTTCTCCCCTGTCCAGTCCATTCCCCCAGTGGGGACAAACCAGTGGCTTCCTGGCGAGGGTTAAACCACAGCTTCCTGGCAAAGCTGTACAAATGGCAAGTCGCTAACATTTGACCTTCTCTTTGCTCCTTTCCAGTTATTAATAACTGGGCTAAATTATAACGGTATCAGTAAAAGTCAATATTTACTTGAGAAAAAGAGCAATAGAATTTCCACAGCAGCGATTCTCACCCTGTGGGTCGCAACCCCTTTGGAGGTCGAACGACCCTATCACAGGGGTTGCCTAAGACCATCGGAAAACACATATATAATTACATATTGGTTTTGTGATTAATCACTATGCTTTAATTATATTTAATTTGTAACAATGAAATTGGGGGTCACCCCAACATGAGGAACTGTATTAAAGGGTCACGGCATTAGGAAGGTTGAGAACCACTGCCTTACAGGAACAATTATGATTGCAGTTTTTGTTGGGAGTTCAGTGAGGGGAACCTGATGGAGAGAGGGGACAGTGTTCATTTTGTGGTTATTGTATTTCAGATGCTGTATTAAGCGCTGGCTCTTACTTTCTCTTTGAACACTTAAACATATAGTAGATGACAATGCTTTAATTTTCTTTCTTTCTTAATTGATTATAATTTTATTTAAAACATATTTTTATTGATTTTTAGAGAGAGGAAGGGAGAGAGAAACATCAATTAGTTGCCTCCTGCACATGCACCAAAAGGGGATCAAAGTCATAACTTAAGGTATGTGCCCTGACCGGGAATCAAATCTGCCACTTTTGGTGTACAGGATGACGCTCCAACCGACCAACCAGGGTAACAATATTTTTATTTTCAATATGAGAAAACCATTACTTGAGAAGTAAATAACCTCTATCATGTTTGGGAAGCAGGATAATCCTGGACTAAGAGACTGAAAAGGCTGGTCT